CCGATCACTCTCTCCTCGAGATGTGCCACGCATTCTTCTACCATTCTGAATAATTGTAACATTGGATGCGGTTTGGCTCAATGGCGTCGCTAGATGCATGAATCAATGTTTTGTCCTCCAAGGCAAGAGTGGTAACGAATACCCGAACAAGGAGTGATGAAAAACTTGTTGGAATGTGCGAAATCCAAGTTGGGTTTTCATCTTCACACAATCTACGCGTGCTTAAGTGACTGCCACCAGCCGCTTCACCTCTGCGTCTTAAAATTTACTGTACTCCTAAAAGTTCCACACCCAGCCTTTCCACTCACTGCTTCCACCCGTAGCGACCTAGCAGGCCCTTGTTCGTCTCTTTAGGCGCCTTGTACTTCTGCCCGCCCACCGACAAACTTACTCAGGTGGTGGTTTCTTGATGAGGGACTCTAGCCGTGGACGTGACAGAGGAGAGCGTAACCCTCAGGTTGTTGACGTCAGCATCGATGAGACCCGAAATATTAGATCAACGGGCAGAAAGGTCCCATTTTGCGAGTTTTAAGGCCGTTTCTCAATGCAACAACCCCAGACCGAATTGGTGGGGTAACAGCGGTCGATAATGAAATTGTGGATGTTGAACTGACTGAAAATGAAAAAAGAAGCAAAGCAAACCGCCGATGAAGCCCTTGAACAAGGACTCTCTTCCCCTTGAAATGAGGGAGGGGCGTGTCTGGACGAGTTGTCTGAACTTGCTTGCTCCATGGCTCCACTAACCCGCGCGTATTTGAATTAGCCGCTACGTCACAATCCACTTTGTGTGTTGAGTGTGCGTGTAGGTATCTCGTCCCATAAGTTCACATGTTAGCTTGGGTATGAGATCCTTGGGAAGCCTAGCGATTAATCGAACCTTTTCGGTCGCGCCATTGGCACATCTGGCAACCTGCTTGGCGGGACTACTTACCCCATCCACTAACATATATATGCTCACTTCTCTATTATGCGGGATTGTTCGTCTATTTTTCGATTAGTTGTTTCGATTTTCGTTTCATGAACTATAAGCGTACTCTCGATATTTATATCTAATATTTTGCAGCCAAGGGAGAATGGTGTGTGTGTTTGCGGCCGATTTGTGCTTGTGTGGGAACGCCGGTGGTGTGTTGTTCACTTTTCACAGGGGTTATCGCGCAAATTTCAAAGCGTTATCCGCGATTGGTGGAGACACTTCATCTTTCATATCTAAATTGCGCTTTCCTTAGTGGTGATGTCCAACTTACCTCGCTTGTTTTGAACATTCTCCGGTTCCAGTCTTGGAACTCGACGATGGCAGTCTGTGTGGAATGAGTAGGCAGATTTCCTGATTGAAGTTTCGGGCGACGTAGGGTAAGTCCCGCTACTTTCTCCATGGAATGACTCCATAATTTGGACTCTTTTTCAGATCATCTGCGGATCTCTATATTATAGTAAGCATATCGATCAAAACAACGGATGTTTGCGTGAATGAGTCATCTCTGCGATATGCCAAGGCTTTCACGCGGGTTTTTCTGGGACGCACGAGAAGAAGGAGCTAAGGGAGAAGAAATAGTCGGATATAAGTCTAACATTTTGGATAAAAATCAATCGTATATAATTTGATTGAATTTGTGTTGCAGAGAGTTGACACCGATTAAATTGTTAACTTACTATTAAGAACTTATCCGTTAGCAGGACAAAGAAGAAACTTTACGACTATATTGCACAATCTTCAATGACAATATCTGCGAAAAAATGAGTACTTGGAACTTCTCGATAAGGTTGCTGAGCTCCTCAACAAACCACCTACGGTCTTCGGGCTTTTTGAATCGGTCTTTCGTACTCTGTCGTCTGCACTCTCTCGCCTCAATAGCGATTATGGAGCGTTCATAGTTGGCGATCGTATGTGCGATTAGGCGATTAGGCGATGATTCAAAAAGAAAAGTAACGTATCGATTAGGCGATTAGGCGAGTAGGCGAGTAGGCGATAAGAGAAGGATACGTATTGATTTGTTGCTCCGCCCATTGAGCGATCGCCTAATCGCCTAATCGCCTAATCGCCTACTCGCCTACTCGCCTACAACGCTCTATGGGCGGAGCAAACCAATCAATACGTATGTAGTCTTCCCCGCCTAATCGCCTAATCTATACGTACATTCTTTATAAGCTAATCGCCTAATCGCCCGTACGATCGCCAACTCTGAACGCTACATAAAGCCGGGTTTAGAGTTTGCGACCTTAACCGCAAAAATCGCAAGTGCCCCATTTGAACATTTGAAACACTGAATATGAAACAAGTAGAATCATGAACAGTCGTCATTCAGCCATCACCATCAAGCAGAAATGGCGGCGGGATTGGAGAGCACCTCGCAGTATTGATCGGGCACTTGTGATTTCTGTGATCCGTCGCGCGATTCGCGCAAATCGCGCGACGGATCGCGGACCCGACACCAGCCTTGGTGATCCCAATGACCTTGCACGCTCAAACTCTTGCACACTAAAAGTGGCCCACCCCATCCCCCGAATTGTCTTCATTTTCCCTCGTTTACTTATGTCTCTTTCAGCACTATTAAAAATTGTGCTCGGCGTCATCCTCTAACCAAATCTGTGCTCGGTCCTTTCTCGACGGAGATCATGGAGGAAGGTTCAAGTAGTAATGTAACCCTGGGTTTACATGTAGTCCATGAGGCCCACTGCGCGACAAATGTGCAGACTTAGGGGCCTTCTGGCCAGTCATCTGGATCCTACTGTAGCACTAACCCATATGTGGAATTTTTGGGAGTTTTGACGATCCGATCGTGGAGGCTTTTGTCAAGTGTTTTGCACTCAAACGTAGGCGGAAGCGGGTTTGACAGGATACTCCCACACAGTGCTACCCAAGAGGCCCATCCCCCGCCCCATTTGTTGATAGGCCTTTCTGTGGGGCACCTCTAGTACAGTCTAAACCAGTTGAAATACAGACTGCCTGACATCCCGTCTATAAAACTTTAGCAGACCGGCTTAATGCCAAAAGCTAGTTCGTGCGCAAGAAAATTCGCGCCACGATTCTATAACGGCCTGACTCGAACGATCAAGTTTCCCAAACGAGTCAGCTATATTCGACGTCCCAAGGGAGCCGGCCGTATCGCCGGATCCTTCGGAACACCGAGCACCAGCCCCGTCTCCGAGGGATTTTCTCGCCGACTCTCCGGGGACATCTAAACCTTTAAAAAATCAATCAATTCCAAGCAATCGCAAAACCAAAACTCATTTTTCGGGATTTACATCACGCCACTCACAAACACTTGTTCGCCTTGCCCCGATGTCGTTTCCTACTGAGCAATCCGCTCATAGATATGACTTTTGATGTGGCGTTATTTCAAGGATATTTCTAAACTGTTCCAAAATTGCCAAAACAACCAAAAAATAAAAAGTAGAAGTAAGTAATGTAAGCAAAAAATCAGCTTATAGCGAGGGTTCCCTAATCTATACAGTTCTCCGGGCAGAGTAGTAATAGCAGACGGCTCCGCTCCTCACATGCACGGTCCGGGGGTCACATCTCGGACCGAATCTCTCCCCATTACGACTAACGCAGGAACCTTTTACTCTCCCAATCCCTGTCCGCTCAATATGATTCCAGAACTATATTGCCGGGGGGGAGAAAAATCCAGAACATTGGCGCTCCCCCCGTCCCCGTGCATCCGAATCACCGTATATCGTGAGTCTAGACCACTTTCTTTAAACAAAGATTCACCTTGACTACTGAATCGGAAAATGAACATGACATGCGTTAATACCAAAAGGGACATATTTCGGTCGATACTGAGTTTCATGATTTATTCACACGACTTAAGTTTATGTTGAGTCAGATCATGAGCTTCATCTACAAAGACTCTTTTCAACCCCATACTGTGTGGATAGCCACCAAGCTGCCACCGACAATCTAAGCATCAACATTTACTCTCAGCTGAATCTGAAGATATCCATATAATACAACCTAGGATAGCCAGCACTGTAACCAGAAACACGAGAATCACACACCATACTAGCTTAGATGCTTTCGGTGCAGCCCAGAGAGCCTTAGCAAAAGTCATACCAACGAAGATATGAAATACATTTTAAAACGACAGACGCGATACGAGTAAATAACTTCAGTGCATCGATAAATTCACATAACTAATGATTTTCTTAGTTGGCTTTCACATCTAACATAGCATAGCAATATTAGATCGAATAAGACCTGAGGACAGAGCCTTTCCGAATGGGTTATTTGGATTTACTAAACAATACTATTAATACATTCAATTCAATAGTTAACAATTATGACGTTACATATTGGACTATTCAACGGAAGGAGCTATTAGAAAGGCCCGATTGATTGAAAGTGGATAATTCAAGTGAAAGTGACATGGATAGCTTAGAACTCAAGTATATTTACAACCACAAAATGACAAACATTCACAAGGCAGTATACAAAACCACTAGGGCTGCTAACAAGTCGTACAATCTAGAGCACAGGTAAAACATTCAGGAAGCTGAGAAAAAACGAAGAAATGCCTCAACAAATTGACAACAGCGTGCTCTAATACTGGGCCACACTTGATTACCACGCGGGACGGTGCGGTCCAACGTTAGACCGCACCGTCCCCGACGTCCAACGACTCTAGGACACATATTTCCAGAAGCCAAACTTCTTCCCAGATTTTTTCAAATACATTTCTGTGAATAACACTTGGTAATAGTAAATAAATGGCCCGAGATGAATAATGCTGTGTTTACCTATGGTTTCCTGGATTTTTTAGCTGGTTTTACCATGCCCATATAAACGTGCCCGTCCCACAGAGGAAAAAACGAAAAGGCGTGCTGTCGTCAATGTGTTGAGGAGAGATTATAATACAAACAACTCAAACATGATACCATCTCAGAGGCCGACCTTCGATCGCTTGTCGAAAGTGGTCGCCGTCAACCCTTTTCGTTTCACAGCACTTCGCTTGCTGTTCGTAGCATTGAAACGATGTACTTCAACACTGTCCGTGTTTGAGATGGAGAATGAAGACGTCGCCGTTCGGACGACAGCACACCACGTGCGCATTGCGACACTCGAATACCTCCCGTTCGTCCAATATCGTGCTGAAATGATTTGTCGTTGACAGTAAGGATTCCTTATTGCAGCTTATATGCGTTATAGTGGCGCGGAGGTACGCATTAACAAGTAGCACTTTCCCGGAGTGTCAGATTTCAGACCGCGTCTCACAAGCCAACCACCTTCATTCCTTCGAAGTTGATAAAATGATCTCACTGATTTTCCGGAAAGGTAAAGTGTTTGGGGTGTGACTCATGACTCCTGCAAGTCACTGCATAGGCTAAAACACAGTCAAATACCTCTATGATTCTGGATGGATGTGGAATGCGTGCCACATCCCAAAAGGTAACTGGATCGAAGGCGACCGCTTCATCCCATCTTCATCTTCATTTTGTGTTAGGAAATGGAGAAAATAGTCCGCAAAATGTGTACCCTAACTTTTTTAAACTTTTTTGGATGCACCCCAAAACCAGTTATTGCAAAAATTCGACCAATTTAGGGGTGATCGAAAACAAGAGTCACGACAACGCCGATGTTCATGAAAAAGAAAGATGGTTGGCAGAGAATAAAATAATGTCCAAATAGACATAGATGGCGTTTTTGCGGCCGATCGTGCGCTCTGAACGACGCGACAAGGCGCCGAATGAGCCTGAAATGGTCTGGTTCTCAGACACACCCACCGCCCGCAAGTGGATAAAGGGTAGAAAGGATAAAGCATTTGCCGTTGATCAATCCCTTTTTGGGATGCGGCACGCATTCTACTTCCATTTGTACATTCGCAGTGGCGTTTGAATGCGATGTGGCCTATACAATGACTTGCGGGGGCCAGCCGATGTACAAGTCAGTGTTTTTATCCTCCCAGACAAGTCTGGTACCAATTAACCGACCCGGAGGGATGGAAGGCTTGGTTGGCCCGGACGACGCATGGACTTGATCAGGGGATCGCATGCAAGCAGCGCCACTTGCCATTACACCACTTCCGCCACGGCGCGTGGAAGGGATGAGGAAATGCAGTGCCCTCGAGTGTATTTAATTCATGTACAAGCCAAAATTTAATTGCTCGGTCAGATAGATCGAGTGCATGTTTGCAACACGCCGGTCGAAACGACAACCACCTATTTATCAATGGCCGTTTGTCATGATGCCCGTGTCAACTTTACTCGAACGACCTTTAATTACGGTTTTCTCAGATCCAAAAAAAATAAAAAATGTGATAAAAGAGAGGCCACCCTGTTTTTACCTCTTGTTCGTGACAACACACCACTTGGTACTTCGACATTCACACACCGGAGACGTATTCAGGGTTAGTCACGGGGGAGCTGCTGCAGGGGCGCGAACGCGATCGATATTGGTTTGTCATTCTGCTCGAAAATGAAACTGGATGCGCAGGAAAAGCAAAAGGGATAATGAGAAACAATGAATTGAGAGCCTCCTTTTCATGTGGGATCGATCGTGACACAGCGGAGAAATACAACGCAGCGATGAGAAGGAGTACGCGGAAGTTAACACCGTACGAGAGGCGCATGCTGCCAGCGAGTAAAAATGGCAGCGGTCGCAGCGGTCTAAACAAGGCCTTTTCGAGCAATTTGAGTTGCGAGTGACAGGACTTGAAGACTGTCCTTAGAGATTCTGCTATTGCACTCACGGAGGGAACTCCACTGAGTGTCCGATCGATCGCTTTCAAGCATTAAGTAGTAAGAGCCGCTGATCGGGAGGGTAACCCTTGAACGATGAGGAGTACAACACTCCGACATCTCAAAAATTTTGGTGAGAAACGGATGTATAGCACATCCCAAAGAGACTGAAGAGCATTGAATGCTGCTTGCTAATTTTTGTGTATTTCAAGGAACTGTTAGAAAATCTGGTGCAGGTTAGAGTACAATGGAGCAGTTTTGGTCAGAACTGAAGCAGTTGTTCTCCCAGACATCTGTTCCTGATTGGTCGAACATGTGACCCGCAAAGACGAAAAAGGAGCCAGCTGAGCATACTTCTAGCCACAAAAATACAGTAGTGCTTCTATGGAAATTCAATGAAGAATAAAAACTCTACAGTTCTTACAGTTGCTTCCATTTAAGTACTCTAACAGCAGATGAAACAGAAAGCTCACCCCGAGTCCGGTCCCGTATATTCCGCCACTTGCAGGATTTCGATCGAGTCGTAGTGAACAACATAAAGATATGGTGCGGTGAACACTGAAAAAAATAACGACATAGCTAAAGTATACATTCAGAAAAGCAAAATGACTTACCAAACTCCATGGGCATATGTTCCCACTCCACCGTCTGATTTCTTGTTCGCTCTCCTCGCGAATTTACAAATATTCCGTAATCTGTCAAAACCACCGTTTCGCTAGGTCACTATGTGAACAACAAGGCTATGACTTACTTTGGTAGGCAAGAAGTACTTCATCTTCTCGAATTTGGAGCAGCGCAATCGGATAGTCTGCCACACTCGATTCAACCAAACGTACGGGTTCCAACTGGCCTCGTGACAACTGGACAAAGTAGAAGCTGTCTGCTCCGAAGAAGAAGCCGTTCGCCGTTGACAGCATGCACATTGCCGGTTCTCTCGTTTCAATCACCTAAAAACATTTCGATCCAGATTGTGGAGCCAAAGTCACCAAGGTTGGGCATTCATCTACGGATCAACTCACCTGTTGCCCCGTGAAGACATCTCGGGCTTGGCTGTACTTGAGAACGTGAATCTTCGCCGAGGTTGCCGCGCACAAATACCTTAAATTTAAAATCAGCTTATTTCTATCGATTTTCATTGTGCAAACTGTTTTACCGCTGTCCATCTTGCAGATGGTACGAAAGGGCATGAAGGTGATCGTATCCAGAGATGACGTCCGCTCGAACTGATGGATGAAGAACGTTCAACGCTAATTTGAGCGCTGGTAGCGGTATGAGGGCCAGCGAACGCTTGTGATCGATTATAAGAGCGAGTATATTCAGATCCGTCAGGCACTCCATCTAAACCAAATTTTCAGTCTCAAAAATCAAGATTTGGAAGATTTTGACGCTTTAACGCCTTGTTGTAAACCATCCAAAACTTTCAACATAGCAACAACGAGCCATATTTGGTAGAGAGACATTTAGTCTGAGGCCAATTTTCAGAAATTAGGACAATGCTAGAAAATAGGAAATCGGAAATTAGGCTGCCATCACAGAAATTAATCCGTTTGGACTTTCAAGCCATACCTATCCACAATATCCCATTAAGAACCGAAATGGAAACGAATAGGCCAGAATGCAAGGTATATCTTGCCCCAAAGAGGGATTCATAGTAATCCTATTCGAATAGATAAACTAGGATTTTAGGACAACTATTACAATAAGCAAGTTGGGGGAAGTGATTCAGCTACAAAGACTTACCGCAGTAACCGAGTTGAATCCTCCAATTCTGACTGGTACCCGTGCACTATGGATGTTGGTAAAGAACAAACCACTTTGAGCACCAATAAGAAGATAATCATCAATCACCTGAAACAGCCTATTTTCGCATTGTCAGCCACCCGATTAAATAAAATGCAACTACTAGGCTTACACAGTAGATGTATCGTAAGATTTAGGTTTTGAGAGAACGAGAAGACAAGACTGCTCTGAAAAAGAGCTAGGCCGCCGTGTGAGCATCATTCGTCTGGTTGAGGCGCTCTGGAGGGCCTCTGCCCATCGCTTTGCCGTTTGCATAGAAGGTGCCAGGATGTAGATATTGCGGCTTAAAAACGAATTCAGTCCCAAGCCTTGTTTCTATCAGGGCAAACAGGCCTACCTGTCGGTTTTAAATGGACGATGTTGTGAGAACTTGGCCATTGTCCATCTTTCAAAGGCACTTCACTTCCGACTCGAACAATTCTGAGTTCCTTCTCGAGATCGACCTGAATAAAGTCGGTCAGATATGGCGGTAGTAGTGAGCACTGGCCAAGTAGTTGATGAACGAACCGATAGGAACGGCTTTCGAAGGTCAGTTTGTACGGAGTCGTTGTCATAGAACGCAAGGCGTTTCTCATCCATTTCTCCCCACGCTGACTGCCATTCCCTCACATTACTGTCATCTCTAAAAACGTTAATCACCATGAATACAGCAAATAAGGGTGAATAAAATGCCTAGTAAAATCAGGGTCAACGTTTACGTCGCAATTGGACGACTTCTCCCTACATTCTCTGGAAGGCGCCTTACATGACCCTCTCCGTCTGATCGATGGATGTACTAGTGCTGTGTAAAGGATTTATTTTGTCACGTCTAGGAACTTTTTCCACTCCAAACTGGAACGGGTGGGGGTGCTATGGGACGGTGATCTATGTAAGTTCGACACAATAAAGTTTTCAAACTTCTCATTTCGCAAAAAATTAATCGAGTCCCTAAAATATTTTAACCATCTCAAGCTGATGTTATGGCCATACGATGATGAAGATGCAGGCACGATTCCTGCCTAGGACGAAAGTTTTCCCATAACCCAGCATTCTTGTGATATCCTACGTAATGCGAACTACAGCGTAAAAGAGCACTTATCCAACAAAAACAATTCAATAACGGTAAAGTTATCCCCAAGCCTCCCCCCACAAAAAAAATGACGACATTCTTTCGGTGAACCACAAATAGGATCACACAAAGTCGGGAACTGCGTGAAATGTTTCCCAATGTAGCGACTTCTGCTTGCAGTTTCGAAAAGCCAGCACGAACACACCTGAATAACCGCACCCATCCATTCATTCTTCCGTTTGGCAAATTGTATGCGTCCAGGTAATAGTTCGCACACTGATCGGGTAAGCCGCAGGTGTTCACAACACGTTTTGAACACTGCGAATGTACGATGATACCACAATGAGCACATCGCTTCTTCTTTGCAAACTGAACTAGCATGAATTAGAGTAATTTAGTCGAACAAATAATTACAATTCACATTTTGGTTCAAATTAATTTGGCAGGCTCATAACTGGGAATGGAGAGCTGCCAGCATTCTAAGAAATAAGCTGATCAAGCAAAAGCTCGGTCGCAAAAGAGGGTTAGGAGCAAAGCGACTGACTCGAAACACGTTCTCTTTTAGGAGGGCTTGAGCTTGATAATAGAGGATATTTCATTATAAGGGGCTGAAGAGGGAACAAACAGAAATACGCTCCTGAGGCATCTCTTCCGCAACTCATTAACCGGTAGGAAAAACAGTTGACAACGAGTACCGCTACATTTGCGGAATGAGACTTCAAAAAGGAAGCAAAGAGTCTTTGGAAGCCAAAATGAAACTGCTTCAGTTTCCTTGAGCACTGAACTAATAATAAGTCCAATATTCGTAACAACTGAATTCTTTAGAAAACTCCACATGAGCCAAAAAAGAAAAAAATAAAAAGCATCAAGAATAGCATAGTGAATCGTTAATAGAAACCATGAAGTAGCTCAACTCAGAAGCGTCCGTTCAAAAGGAAACAGAAGCACAAGAAATAGGCGGAGGGAAAACTACTCATGACGACTGAAATAAACCTACCGTAGGAACACCAATGAAGCAAACAGCACATTTGATGCTGAACAGTCCGAAAATGGCGCAATTCTGTCCACCTGAAAAAGAACTGTGTTATGACCATTATCAAAGCAATTGCACTCTTGCAACTTATCCAAGAGTACCTGTGAGGAATATCATGCCGCATTATTGCTTTCTGCGGAGTGGGCGGGGCTAGTGTAGATGACTTTTTCTGAGGCTGCGCGTAGCGTATATCAGCTACAGACTTTGACTGCAATCCTGCCATTGGATTCCTTGTTGGTGTGACAGTATAGGGATTACTGTATATGGGAGATGGTTGACGTAGGCGATCTTTTGGCAGAGGAGGGGGCATCATCTTTCCGCGACATCAATACTGCAATTTCAACAGCGT